TATATTTCTTAAAAAATACATTTGAATAATGTCTTCTCAAACTTTGTATTTACCTATTAATACAACACTACCATCATTGTTTAAAAAAGAATGAGTCTTGTTTAAACAATGCTACTATATAACACTACTTCTTTCTTAAAAAAATATTAAAATTATAACGATAATATCACTAAAGTATTATGATGTTAGAGCTCATATTCCCTTGTTCAATATTTGATTGGGCTTTTCCGTATCAAAAGTTGCAATTGATATATTTCTTGAAAAGATTGGTAGGTAATTAGTAGACTACCTGAAATTTTATGATGAGAAAAAGGGGTGGCGCGAATCATAACAGTATTACTTTAGTTCCAGTTTGAATGCCATTATACCTAGTTCATGATGGAGAAATCTGAAGTAAGTGAAATATTAAGTGAAAAGGGCAGGTCAATGTTAGTTAGTGACAATTACAAGTATAACTTCCATAAAATGCTTGCTAATAATATCAAACGTTGGCAGTGTGTAGATAGAAGTGTAGAGAGAGAAGTGTAGAAGCAGTATGTGGATAGTTTTGTTAAAACTTTAAATATTTGTAACAGTGTTGTCGAATGTAGTCATAACCATATCCATAAAAGTTTAACAAAACAGTGTTAAACCTGCAAAAATTAAGTAATAGTATTAAGCGGAAGGCAATTGATGATTTGTCTGAAAAACCATTGAAGTTGATACATAGCGAAACTAAACAAATAGGCACTAAAAGTCTTACTATGGAAGATGTACATTTGATTAGAAAAAATATTTATAATGGCAGAAAACAAGTTATTCCCAAAATTCCGAAGTACGCGCAGGAAGTACATGACTCGTTAAACTCCCTGGAAGTGACAATCAATCAAAAAGAACAATTTTTATTGAAAAATGATCCGGTAAAAAAATTTGTTGCTTTTTCTTGTGTATCTAACTTAACATTTTTAAGTAAATTAGAAACAATTTACGTTGATGGAACTATTTACATTTCGCGGACTCGAAAATGGACACTATATGCCGTTGGCATTCTTTTTGCTTTCAAATAAGTTAACAAACTCATATGTGACTGCCTTAAATTGTTTAAAGACGGAGTGTCAAAAATTGAACTTAAATTTTAGTCCCAAGGTTGTGTATGCCGATTTCGAAAAAGCGATCCATGCAGCTGTAAGTGAAGTGTTTTCATCTGCGAAAATAAAAGGATGTAGGTTTCATCTCAGACAATCATGGTGGAGAAAAATTCAAAAAGGTGGTCTGGCTACTGAGTATTCATGGCTATAAACGACAATGAAGTCGGACAATACCTTAGATATATGTTTGGTCTACCTTTCCTAGATCCATTAGAAGTAGGTGTGTGTTTTGCTTTAGACTACAGTGAAATATTACCAGCACAACACCAAGCCATACAACAATTTGCTGACTACTTGGTGGACAACTATATTTCTGAAGAGGCAGACTTCTCTTCTGAGATGTGGGCGGAAAATAGTTTATCACTTGATCGTACAACCAATGCCTGTGAAAGTTTCCATTCTAAATTTAATTCGTTATTTTACAATTCGCACCCTAATATATTTTAATTTTTAAAAGTTTTAAAAGATTTTCAAATTGACACATATAAAAATACGAAGTTCTGTGAAACAAAAAAAAGTATACCGAAAAGTACTTCTAAAGCGTCAAAAACTTGTTGATGACAAAATAGCGGAATTAAAGCAAAATAAAATTAGCAGATTTGATTTTGTCAAATGTATTTCATTTAGATTTCTAGCGAAATAAATGTTGTGAGATAAATAGACATAAAAGTAGTGAAGATGGTAAATTTAGCGATATAACCTATAAATTTACATTTCATTTATTGTTTCCCACCTTTAAACGTAAGACTTTGGAAACTACCGCTGTGACAGTGACAGTTTTAGTTGACATCCTCCTCTGATAAGTCTAGAGGTGGGAAACAGTGAATATAATGTAAATTTATAGGTTTCTATCGCTAAATTTTTCATCTCTACTAGTGTCATCTCTTTTATCTTACAACTTCATATCTTTCCCATCGTTCGGGTTATTTTGCCGGTTATTAGCGCGCTTATCACTGTATTTATATAAATATGTAACTACTAATATTTGATATAATGTCTAATATAAAATACAAAAGCCGCAGTACCTATTTTCCTGGTGTTAATTTTCCTAGAACTTAATAGATAAATACTTAATCCCCTTGACCATGGGACCGAACTAGGTTATGGTTTTCGGAGCGAACTAGTATGTAATTAAAAGGTTTTTTTACATTGGGAGCGAACTAGTGTGCTCCGATCACTACAGCTGTTTCGGTAAAGTGGCTTTCTCAAGTAATCTAGTTTTGGCACGCGTTTACACTTTATAGTATTCAACTGAATAAGTTGAGGAGGGGACAACTGTTTATCTTAAGTTGGTCATTTAGAATTATTTCTAATGTAAAGAATTTGAAATTAATCATTCAAAGAATGATTAGGTTTGGCCTAGAAGGTGAAGTGTTTACGTAGAATCACTTTTTCTGATTGTTATTATGGAAAGCTCTTTGGTGCTTTCCTATCCGTTTGTTAAAAGTTCTACCAGTTTGACCGATGTAAGCTTTTATTCTTTTATAGATTATTTTTTATGTGTTTGGTTATTTTTATTGATATCTTCCCTTGTATAAATAATCGAGTAGAAGGTACTGGGTTTTTTCTCTGGTCGTGCAAATACTAATTTCAGGGCTTACTCATGTAGTTTTTGTTTGTTTTACCCATGTGTGTTTCTATCTCGAAGTTGTTTTTTGACATGGGAATTTATATTAATCTATGTAGGTAACATGCTATAGTAGGGTGCCAATTTATGTTCGGTAGGATGGATGATGAATTGTGTATAGTCTTGTCAGTATGGGTAGGTTTATAAAATACGGAGAATTCATGTTTGTTTTTGTCTGATAGTTTTTAAATCTACAAAATTTATGGATTGATTCTGTTCTGTTTCCATTGCATAGAATTGAATATTATTAAACAAATAGCAATAAACAATGCGTACAACAAACAATGAAATAAATTTTAAATCAAAAACTACATATTAATTAGTAAGAAAGCCCTGAAATTAGTATTTTCACTACAAGAGAAAAACCCAGTAACTTTTGCTCGATTACATATACCGGTAAGCTATCAACAAATTAGTTGTCTAATAACAATAGTCTTCAGAACAAACAACAACTTAGGCAAATATATTAAGAACAATAAGAGCCAAAAGAAAAAGCACTTACACAGTGGTGTATACAAACTTAGATAGGCCAAACTGGTAGAACTTTTAACAAACGTATAGCAGAACATAAAAGGATTTTCAATAATAAAAAAAACCGATTCGACGTACGCACATTACCTTTTAGACCATAATCATTCTTTTAACTACCAATTTCAAATTCCTTACATTCAAAATAAAGGCCATAAGCAATCTTTATTAAAATCTATGAAAATTACCAAATTAAAAAATACAGACATAAGTCTGAATGACGAACTTGAGACAAACAGTTCTCCTTTTCTCAATTTACCAATAATCGCATACCAAAAATAGATTACTCGAGAAAGGCACTCTACACAAATAGCTGTAGTAAGTAGTAAATTTTGTGGAAGTTTAAAAAAAGTTTTCAGTGTTTTATTGTTGGATAAAACGAATTTCATCAAGTAACGGCCGAATTTGTGGTTGTTGTATTGAACCACGTATGCAGATTTTTCAGCCAGGAAATTCTTCGCCTTCCTTCTACTTTTCCTTGGAGAATTAATTTCAGCAGCCCATACCTTTCCCTGTTCCTCATAATGTGACCGAGGTATTCAATTTTTGCTGTTTTTATTGTGGTTAACAACTCTTTTCCTTTTTGCATTCTTAATAAAACGTCCTGATTAGTAACGTGGTCAGTATAGGATATTTTAAGGATTCTACGATAAAGCCATATGTCGAAAACCTCAATTTTCTTCCAGGTAGCGTCTGTATGAGTCCACGACTCAACTTCGTACAATAGTATAGGAAAGATATAACATTGTAGTTCTCTGATTTTTATGGTTACTGATAAATCATGACATTTGAATAGCTTAGCAATTTTTTGAAATGCAGATCTTGCTTTCTTCATCCTAGATTTTATTTCTAGGGAATGGTCTCAATTGATGTTCAATCAAAGTAAGTTTATGTTTTTACCTTTTTTATTGGTTGGCCATTAACACTGATTCTATCAATTTGCTGTTCCTTTTTAGAGATCATCATACGTTTTGTTTTCTTAATGTTCAGTAAAATTTCATATCTCTAACTCACTTCTATGATTCTATGAAAATGTTAGTTGAAGAAAAGTGGGTAAAAATAAAATCAAATATCTTAGGCTCAGCTTAGGAAGATCTTGGCGAATGGAATATCAATAAAAATAAATTGTTTCCAGCGCGAACACTACATGGTTCTGCACAAAAGTGAAGAAAAAGTCTAAAGAAAAGAAAAAAAAGCTTACCTCTTATACATCAATTAAGTCTCAACAAGCATACTTACATCACAAAACGAAACTAAACACATGCCCTTGTAAGAACAATAAGACGTGATCAATGAGAACGTTAAAAAATAATACATTTATTTATTTATGGTTTACAAAAGGAAATATGATGCTTAATAAGAAGATTAATGACCTTCGAACTAGAAAGTCCAGAAATAATTACAAACGAAAAAGTTAATATAAACACCCAGAAAATTGAAAAAATACTTGAAAACCTGAAGAATAAAAAAAGCTGCAAATGATAAACCAAATAACAGCATAATTTTCAAAAGTATAAAACACAATAAAATACTGGAAGATTGATCAACTAGCGAACTAATCTTGCTAATCAAAAAAGGCGATAAAAATATCAAAAAATGTATAGAGGTATCGACTGGTTAAATCACGAAAGAATACGTAAAGCATAAAGTTTTATAAAAATTTAATTTCATATTTACACAATAAATAAATATTACTATAGTTGTACTTGTCTACTTACCAGAAATGAACAAAGTACATAAAATGAAATAAAGAACGGATACGCTACAACAGATCCGCAAGTTGTTACAACCTTCTTCAAGTTGCTATGACATTTGGCTGCAGGGGTATCCGCACAATCCATCATTATTTCCTGCCATGCTTCACCTATAAAAAGGATATATAATGAAAGCGACACCTTATTTTGTTCCATTATAAAGAGCCATCCAAAAAAATGTAAATATAGAGGCTTTGGAATAAGCCTTCCTTCTTTTGGATGGTTACTCACTTCCACACAAGAAATTAAAAATGCATAATTAACATAACCTGCTTTGTATACCGGGTGGTTCTTAAGTAAATTTACAGAAAAAAAAACAGTAGATTCTTCAATTTACCATAAAATTTGAATAAAATGTTGATATTAAGAAAGATACAGGGTGTTAAAGTTGAAATTTAACATTTCATTTTTCTCCATAACTTTCATGTTTGAGGACATTTACGTTAAAAGATTATAATTGGGGGCTTTTGAGTATAAGGAATTATAATTTGTTATGATTTTAATTAATTTTTGTTATAATTTTAATACTTTGATGTAGCTGATAGAGGACCCCCACATTTGCCACATATTATGTGACATAAATTTGCGCTTACCTTTTTTACTCTTTGTTACCTCTATCTAAAATAATAAAGATACATTATTTCAATAAAAAAATATATATTTGTTAATAACTTTAAAGCTCAACAGTTTTCGAGATCATCGCATTTTACAAATCAGCTACATAACTCTGATTTAACGCAATTACTCCAGACAACTAAGGAAAAATAGACAAAAACATCAATACTTTTGAATTTTGATATGAAATACCTCTAACTAAAGTTAATATTTTCCGAAATATTAAAGAACACATAGTATACGCTAATATTTTTTTACATACATCAGTAGGATAATTAAAAGTGTTATAGCATTGACATTAAACATTTTACATTTTATATTAAATTAAAGTCATAACAAAATACATTTTATTTAAAAACCAAGTTAAGAAATAGTTAAACTGAATACTTTGAAATTTTTTTTCAAAGTAAGTATTCGATATATCCACTATTATCTACAATGCAATTATTAATACGTTTCATAAAATATTGTTTCAAATAGCATCATTGGTTAAAAAAACCACTACAGTGTTTATTTCTTACCGCAGTTGGTTGCAAATGTTTATGGGATTCTTGAAGACACATTCTTTCGTTGAGCCTCATACACCAAAATCGAGCGGATTAAATTCTGGGCGATGTGGTGACCAAGGAAAATTACTACGACCAATCCAGCATTCAGAAAAGTTGGTATTAAGTAGATTAAGTTGGTAGATAAGTATATTCTCGCATTACCCTCGTATAATGTGAGGGTACACCATCTACATGAGCCATATATTTTCCCTTAACTTTAATGACAATTTTTTCAACAAATCAATAAAATCATTTTGTAAACAATGTAAATATTTCTCACCATTTAAATTACGAGCATGGCCTTAAAAGTGATTCCACACCATATGTTTATTTTAAAGTCATCTGGAAATGTTTTTTTTTTGTAATATGAGGATTTTCAGTGTCCCAGAAATGATTGTTCCATAACCCGGGATAGGTGCCGTTAAGTTACGTTACGCCATAGGTTCCGTGTAGAGATTTTTTCTAACTTTGTAAAAAAAATTACAGTCAGCATAAATATGCTATTTTCAGCTCTAATTAAATATATCCTTTTTCTTTCCTATTACGGATTGTCTGATTACAAAATGTAAACCATACAGCTAATTTGAACCACGTTTGGCAGACAAATAGGTATAAGTATAAAATAAATAAGTATAAAATCAATAATGGCCTTATAAAATTGAACTAGGTAGGCTACTTTTCTGTTAGCTATGTATGTTATGTTCTATGTTTAGCTGGACCATACTGGTCTAGCTAAACATAAAGAAAAGGCTAATAACACAAATAACAGAACAGATAATAAGCTATTTTGGACATGTGCTTCGAAGAAATGGTCTTGAAAAACTTACCATCCAGGGAAAAGTAGAAGGCAAAAGAAGTAGAGGTAGATCTCCTACACGATACACGGACCATATTGTTGCTACCATTGGCGCTCCATTGTCAGAATGTGCTAGATTGGCAGAAGATAGAAAAACGTGGAGGAACATTGGAAAAATTACCTAACAGCTTCATGATATCACGATACCTGCATCAGGTTAACGACTAAGAAGAAGGCTACTTTTTGAAGGTTACGTCAAAATAAACAGTATTATATTAAGCACAATGTATTAGATTTGTAATATAAGTAACATATGTTTTTTGCAGTAATTAAATTTTACAAATTTATTATTTATTCAGATGCATCACTCTCAGGAATCAAAATGCAATAACTACACACTAATGTTGTTTCTATAGTGTGTTCTTTGCATATTGCTTTCGTGAAAGAACCACAAGAGTGTTGTGTATCTATTTTTTTGGCACGACAAGATAAGCACTTATTTTGTTCTTTATAGTTGTCGGTTGTGAAACTGGATTGATCCTGATCTGTAGAATATCCCGAATTGTTTGCTTTAGGCTAATGGAAAAAGTTAAAATTGAAGACCGTCTTTCTAAATGTGGTTTTATCAACTGTTTTGCCAAGTTTGAAATAAAAGTTCTGCTTTCTACTAAGGTGTTAGTATATTACTATTACTCCTATAAATTATTTGGCCATTTACAGTAGCTATGTTGAAAAGAGTACAAAATAAAGTAAATGCCCATGTATTACTAATTCTGGTTACATTGTGCTCTGACTTATCCTATCTACCACATACCAGCGTCCTTTAGTTAAATTATAAAATGTTATCACTCTTTTTTTGGGGAGTACTAGAGTATAGTGCAGTAATTTTTATTCTGGTCATCTGAAAACATGCTGTTATGAACTGGTCGACCTTTTACAGTGAGAAATCCTAAAGGTAAACTTTTATTTTTTCTTATTGTGCCTACAACACTAAGTCTGTAGTTCACAAACACATCATTTGCCAAAGGAATAGATGTAAAATAATTGTCCATCGTAATATTTCGACCAGTATTATCAATGAGTTTTATTAATCTTTTTACAACGCTCGATGCATCATTATGCAGTACATAGGGGTCTTCTGGTTGTTTCCTAGCGTAGATCTCCATACTGAGAATATAAAATGTTCGTGCATCAACCAGTGTGTAGATTTTAATGTCATACTTCTGTGGTTTATTTGCTATATATTGACGAAAACAGCACTTACCACGAAAATCTTCCAACATCTCACCGATTGTGACGTATGGCCCTGGAGTGTAATATTGAGAACATTTATATTCAAAGTTTTTAAATAGCAAAACATTACAAGCCTAATCCCAGAGACATAATTGAGGCATTGCTGAAGGCCCAAGGGATTACAAAAATTATTATCAAAATTATAGCAAGAAATAGTAAAAAGTTAGATTTTTTTCTCACCACTTCTCTCACCGTTCCCGGGTTAAATTAAAAATAACACGGCGTGTAAATGTAGCTACGTCAGCAAATAATATTCTATCGACGAAGGAGTGGTCAAGAATTTGCCTGTTACGGATATGATTTGCAAATCTGCATCTTAAAGGTAAATCTGCTGTCAATAGATTTTGATTTAGATATAATTGATTTAGAAATGCTCGTGGTGCATTATTTTTAAAACTAAAACTTCAGTTTTGCTAATTTCTAAAGCTGAAGATAAACGTCGTGTACTTAAGAATCATCATCAACGCTAACCATTACTTCATCTTCTTGATGAGGCGTATTAAATTACGGTATGCCTAAGTTGTCACGTTAAGGACGAAATGAACCACTTTCGTCTACATTCTGGAATATATGTTTAAATATTTGGTGATTAAATTGCAGTCTGTTTGGGTATCTTCTTAAATATTCACTTTTCGCTGCATACCCGTTAACATATTGCTGACAATATAATACCAATCGTACCTCTCATATCCATATTAGAAAAATTTGTATGCTTTGGCATTCTCTGCTTTTGTTAAATACCTCAAAATAAACTAGATATTACAAAAGTTACTGAATAATCAAAACGAGAATTATTTTTAGTGGTCAAAGGCATTCGTGACAGCCTACAATGTTAAGATTTTTCGTAATGCATTAAACAGGTTTTCTATTGATGACATCAAAATTGGCTTCAAATAAAACATTCAACAGACATAACAAATTACTTTGTGGTACTACATAACTATCTTTGAGCTATTTTTATAAGAATAAACTATTAATTATGCTTATCTAAAGGTATTCATTGTTTTAACGCACAAATATCACAACTAAGAATTATTATGCAGCTGATTTCTAAAATGCGATTATCTCGAAAACATGAATCTTTTATTTTTGTTGAAATAATGTATCTTTAATATATTTTTTGACACAAGTAGCGCTAACTTGAAGAGCAAAAAAGCGCAAATTTATGCCACATAATTATGTGGCGTTCTCTATCATCAAAGTATACATCAAATTATAATTCCTCATACTTAATAACTCCCAGTTATAAATGTTTATACATAAATATCTACAAACATGAAAGTTATAGCGAAAAATAAAATTTTAAATTTTAACTTTAACGTCCAGTACCTTTCTTAATATCAACATTTTATTAAAACAAGTTGACTGAAATCGTAATATTTTAGGTATAAACTCTACTGTTTCTTTTTGTAAAATGATTTAAGGACCATCTTGCATAGATGATTATCTGATTTCTCTAAAACACCATTTTAAAGAAAATAAAATATTTTCAAACCCATATAATTACGGTACATGGATTACACCTTTGTCATTTGGCCCCATGGTAAAGACACATTAGATCTCTTCCTTTTCCACCTGAATGGAATACATCCCAGTATTCAATTCACGATGGAAGGTGAGTCTGAAACGTCTTTACCATTACTTATTCAGAACCACTCACTAGAACAATTAGTCAAACCTTCTTGTATGAATTGGTATTAAGAGACTGCAATAACCACATTTCTGTATTTCCTAAGTCATCCGACTGTCGGGTAGATACAAACTCCTACACGGAAAGACAGCGATTTATCCTGCTATTTCCCACTTCTCGAGTGATAATCTGCAGAAAGCGCCACCTATTTTGATATTCTTAAACGAAAACGATTTACCACTATCGCTTTCTGCCTTTTGAGCTGCACGAAATTTGTAAAAGATTTACAGATTTCAGCAAGAGCTTTGCTAAGGCTTTGACGAATTGAAACACAGAACATATAAATAAATGGCTAAAGGAGAAACGTCAACCGAAATTCGTCAACCAAGCTCTTGCTGAAATTTGTAAATCTAAAAAAGTAGTATAGAACACAGTTAAGATGAAATAGTTAAAAACCAAGAATAAAATGTTGACCAGAAGCACATATGATAATCATCCACAAAACAAATTAGCTCAGATACAGCGGTTTTTCGAGTCCATTGATGGATATTTGCAACGATCATGCAATAATACTGTACACTATGAAACTACACTATAAACAATAAGTACAAGCTACGATAAAAATATTTGTACATTTATAGTTGTTTCCAAAAAATAATAATTTTAATATTTAAATATATATTAAAAATGTACTTGCCAGTAGCAGATCTGAACAACACCAACACTGCTTGGAAAAACGAACCAAAATTATTGTTCCTTGTTATTTGAGACGACGATTCCATATCATTACTTTCAATTTTTCCAAACATCTAGAATGACGTTTTTATTATCAAAGAAGCATTAATAAAATAATTAATATTATTATGAATAACAAATGGCCACTACTAGTGAGTAAAATACTACACTTTTGTATGATCAATAACAAAAACGAATAAATATCGAGAATCTGTAATTTAACAAAAAAAAATTATACTCAGCAATATATTTATTTCACTTATAAATTTATTGCTGAGTACATGTCTTTTAGACAAAGAAGCTGTCTGTCTCGGGAAATATCTTTTCTGGTCATCCAATATTTTGACGCTGAATTGTCGACACATTTTTGGCTGATCTAATTGAGATGTCGCCCATGTAGAGGTTTACTCATCCAGAAGCGCATTTTTTCTTGCTTAATTAGGTGGTTTATTTCTTGTTCCCTCAGTTCTAGAGGCGTTGTATCATCTACTGCGCAAATTACTCGATGTAACGTATATGTCTCAGCCTGCACCTTAAAATAGGTTCTTAAATTAAATTAAAAAACCTGTTTATCTAGTTGCTCACCTACGTCCATAAGTCCTCTTTCCCTTGATATCGTGTAATGTTCTCTCTACTGCACTGCGTGGATGCCTTAAGCAAATTTTAATTTCCGAAATTTCCTCGTATTCATAGCAATATTTGCCAACGGATTAGGTTGAGTAAAAACTTATGTTTCCACAGAACTATGTAGAGACGTTAAATGAAAATCTGAAACAGATGTAGGGATGCGCCTTTGTAAAACGTAGCCAAAAATAGTCTCTACAGGATCTGGTTGATAAAATGTGTGATCTGCTAGTAGCCCAGGATATGATAGTTTTCTGCTTAGAAATCTTTTTATACGCATAAATTTGATTAAAATTTTCAAAGTAGGTAAAAACTAGCCCAAAGATCAAAATCTACCCTATGACAATAGGTGATTTTCCTCTGGGGTTGTTGCCACCCCAACTCAGAGATAGAAAAAGTTAAAAAAAACAGAGTAGTCGCTAGAATAGTATATTTTAAGAAAAAAATATTTAGAGTTTTTTCGAAAACTTAATACATTTGAAGTTATTCGTGACTGTAAGTTCACAAATTACACGTCAAAAAATTATGTTTTTGAACGGTTTTTCGCAAACAACTGCAATAATTTAGATTTTATAAGGGAAACTATTTTAATTTAAAATAATGCTTATAAAACAATTTTTTTATTATTACTGTAAATTTAATATTAACACAGTTAGAGCTAGAGTCATCGAATACAAAAATCCAAACATGTTATGTTGAATAATAGGAAACCGGTAAGTTTTTCATGGAAAACTTAAAAACTTTTTTAAATATCTTAAAGAAACCTTTAAAATGACTACTGGTAAAAGTGATTTTCATGAAAATTAAGATAAATTAAGATTACTTAAAATAAGAAACTTAATTGAGATTAGACTCTGGTTGATACTCTTCATTGATTATTTACACTCTACTTCACTTATGTACAAACATTACATTTTGGAAGATTAAAGAAGGTTTAATTTTAAAAGAAAAAATCCGAGTTTAAAATGAAGATATTATTTTCGGAATTTCTCAAAAAATCTTCTCCTTTTCAAAATAATTAACAACAAAAAAGATGCAAAAATGCTAAAACACAAAAAAAAATTTTACCAAAGATTTTGATTTGCTTTGTATTTTTATAGACTAAAAATTAACCGAGATATGATTGTTTTGTAGTTGTAGTCACATGCGTTTAGTATCATCTTTAAGTTCTTTCAACGCAACCCTTTTTAAAATAAAGGTATTGAAAAAACTAAGATACATCACTTTGTAGTTTATTTTAAAAGCGACAAAGTAATGTATATTAATTTTTTAAGCCCCCGAAAATAACTACAGTCGCTATTTGGCTTAAACCTCACAAAGAGCTATCATGGATAAGAACAAAGTTTATTTTTCAGTTTGTGGCAAAATTGTAATTACTACATATTTAAGACTTGTCTATATTTAATACGTTATTTAAAATATTTTATTGATTGCATAAATTAACGTTAATAAAATTTGAATAATATAATTACATTTTAATATAATACCAACACTTATTTATGTATATTTTATTCAAAAATAAATATTTTTGCTGAACTATTGCTGAAATATCAGTAACTGCCATGCAATAATCGTGCAGTTACTCGAATGGAATTTCTTCTACTGATGTTTTGGTTTAAGATTATGAAGAAGTCGGTTTTAACTGTAGTTATTTCTAACATTTCCAGTTGCGGAATAAATTAGAAGAACGTTTCCTAAACTCTCTGATATCAAGCATAAAAAAGTATTCCTCAAATCTCCTATAAGCATATATAACTTTATACAGAAATGCTTCGAAGTAATATTGCACCAGAACTCTTTTTGATAAGATGAAGAACATGGTTGGAAGCTGCTTTTTTCTATTCAGACTATTTCGTAGATTTAAAATACATAATTGACGCTTTAACGGATGAAACAAATGCTAAGCAACATTTTTCAGTAGCAACTTTCATTCATTAAATCAAATTTTGGTTTGCTTAAAAAAACTATTACTTAATTAGAATCATCAAAGTTGTCCTCGGTAAAAAGCATAGCCTTAATAAAAGAAATTAGATGGGGTTATTAAAATCTTAAAGGTAACACTGGAAAAAAAATTTTTCAAAAATTTAAAACAGTAATTTATAAAAACAATGGTTTTCAGAAACTTATTGAGGAAGCTGACGTTCTTGTTGGTAATTTTTGCGAAGAAATATATTTAGAACCAAATATTTTTGTGAATTTCAAATAGTATGCTCCCATTACATTAATTATTGATGTAGAAAGAAGCCTTTTAATTTGCAAATATATGTACACAGATAGAAGCCACAAGGTTTTATTGAAAAAATTTGAAAAACATTTGGTCATTTATTGTTTGCATAATTTTAAGGAATAGTATTTTACTTGTTTACTACTTTCATTTTCTGTATCAATAAAACACTAAAAACTTTGTTTTCAAACTTCCAAAAAATTTATTTTAAATCTTATCACTACAGCTGTTTCAGCTGATTGCCTTTCTCAAGTAATTTATTTTTGGCTTGGGTTTACAAATTTATAGTCTCTAATGAAATAGGTTGAGGAGGGGAGAACTGTTTGTTTCAAGTTGGTCATTCAGAATTATATCTGTGTTTTTTAATTTGTTGATTTCCATAGATTCTAACAAAGATAGCTTAAGGCCTTTATTTTGAATATGAAGAATTTTTAATTTGTCATTAAAAGAATGATTATGATCTAGAAGGTGAAGTGCGTATGTCGAATCTGTTTTTCTATTCTTGAAAGCCCTTTTATGTTCTGCTATTCGTTTATCAAAGTTTCTACCAGTTTGACCGATGTAAGTTTTTGGGCAGTCGCCACATTGATGTTTGTACACACCACTATTTAAGTGTTTTTTATTTTGGCTCTTGTTATTTTTAATATATTTGCCTAGGTTGTTATTTGTTCGGAAAGCTGGTGTTATTCCTTTCTTTTTTATGTGTTTGGCAATTTTTGTTGTTATTTTGTCTGTATATGTAATCGAGCAGAAGGTACTGGTTTTTTTTCTCTGGTGGTGGAAATACTAATTTTAGGCCTTAAGCTAACTTTGTTAGAATCTATGGAAGTCAACAAATTAAAAAAACACAGATATAATTCTGAATGACCAACTTGAGACAAACAGTTCTCCCCTCCTCAACCTATTTCATTAGAGACTATAAATTTGTAAACCCAAGACAAAAATAGATCACTTGAGAAAGGCAATCAGCCGAAACAGCTGTAGTGATCATCATCATCATCATCACTGGCTCGACAACCCTTTTTGTGTCTTGGCCTGTTTAAGGATTCTTCTCCATTCTGACCTGTTTCGTGCTTTTTTTTTCCAGTTTTTAATTTTTAATGTTGTTATATCATTTTCTATTTGTTCTACGTATCTCAGCTTCGGTCTTCCTCTTGTTCTTTTTCCTTCTGGCACTTGTTTGAATATTTTGTTTGGTATTTCGCCTTCTTCCATTCTTTCCACATGTCCAATCCAACGTAGCCTTCCTATTTTAATGAATGTTATGATATCCGGATCCTGGTATATGTTGTATAGTTCAAAGTTATACCTTCTCCGCCAAATCCCGTTTTCTTTTGTGCCCTTATATATGTGTCGCAAGATTTTTCTTTCAAAGGTGGCTAATAACGTTTCCTTCCTTTTAGAGAGTGTCCAGGTTTCTGAACCGTATGTGAGTACCGGTCTTATTAAGGTTTTGTATATTTGGCATTTTGTTTTTCTGGAGACGTTATCTGATCTTAGTTGCCTAATTAAGCCATGGTAACATTTATTGGCAATAAATATTCTCCTCTTCACTTCCTCTGCAACGTTGTTATCAGACGTAACTAGGGATCCTAAGTATGTAAAGTTTTTTACCGCCTCAATGTTGTATTCTCCTATTGTTAAATTTGGCAGCTGCCTTATTTGTGCGTTTTTATTTGCAAGCATATATTTTGTTTTTGTCTGATTGATTTTAAGACCACTATTTTTTGCAGCTCGTTCTATTTGAATGAATGCCTCTATCATTTCTCTTCTTGATCTTGCGATTATGTCAACATCATCTGCAAATGCTAGTACTTGCACGCTTTTATTAATTATTGTTCCTCGGGTATTAACTGTTGTGTCTCTTATTATTTTTTCAAGTATGATGTTGAATAATATGCATGATAGAGCGTCTCCCTGGCGTAGTCCCTTCTTCACATCTATTGTTTCCGTTAATTCGTTTTGTATCCGGATTTTACTTTCTACTTTTAGTGTTTCTTTTATCAATTCTATTAGCTGTGTTGGTATATTAAATTCTTTCATTGCTTTTGTTAGGAATTCTCGGTTTATATTGTCATATGCGCTTTCGAAGTCTATGAAGAGATGATGTGTGTCGATGTTATATTCACTTGTTTTTTCAAGGATCTGTCGCAGAACAAATATCTGGTCTATTGTTGACTTCTGTCTACAGAAGCCACATTGGTATTTGCCAACTATTTTTTCAGCGTATGGTCTAAGTCTTTCATACATTACGTTGGACATTATTTTGTATGCCGCATTCAACAGCGTGATTCCACGGTAGTTTTCACATTCTAACTGGTTTCCTTTTTTATGTAGTGGTACAATAATGCCGCTATTCCACTCCTTTGGTAGCTGTTTATTCAACCATATCTTTCTTATCAGCTCATGTATGGCTTTAAGTAATGCGTCTCCTCCTTCTTTCAGTAGCTCCGATGATATTTGATCCGATCCCGGTGATTTATTGTTCTTTAATTTGTCGTCTGCTGTTCTAATCTCTGCTATTGTTGGTGGACTCTTTTCTCTGTTGTCTGCTTGGTCTAACGGTATATCAGGGTTCATCTCCGTCCTATTCACTCCAAGCTTTTCCTTAAAATGTTCTGTCCATCTTCTAAGTATCTCTTGCTGTTTTGTCAATATATTACCCTCCTTATTTTTACACATCGTTGTTCTCGGTTTGAACTCTTTTCTGCTTTTGTTGAGTTTCTGGTAAAATTTTCTTGTCTCTGTTGGTTTACTTAGTTCTTGTAGTTCTTGAAGTTCTTTGTTGATATATTCTCTCTTCTTTCTTCGGTGAATTTTCTTTTCTTAGCTGTAGTGATACGATTTAAAATAAATTTTGTGGAAGTTTGAAAACAAAGTTTTCAGTGTGTTATTGTTACATAAAATGAATTTCCATCAAATAACGGTCGAATCCATCAATTACCTTCATTTTCAATTAATTAGTACATTACAATTACCTACTTAGTTTTTTAATTCATTAATATTGTTTTCTTATTATTAAAATAAACATTAAGTAAAATACCACTAATAAATATATGTTTCCATAGACAGTATGCATATTTTCTAAAAGAAATGCATATTTAATGCATATTTTTGTGTAAATTAGTGCAAATTGATGCGCATATTTTTAATATTTTTTGCATATTTCCCTAATTCTAGTCATCACTTTGTTATTATTAAGTTTACGATGACATTAAAAAACAAATCGCTTTATTTTATAAGTTTCATTTTATATCCAAACAGTTTTCCCGAGTTATTCGCGAAAGATAATTTGAAAACATGCTTTTTTGCTGTGTAATTTGTTCAGTCACGAATAACTAAAATATTTTTAACAACTGTTAAATTTGAAGGAAATCCATGTATATAAAAATATCAGAGCTTTTATACTATTTTTACCGTCGTATCCTTGACGATAGTTTTAAATAACGAATATGAATTAGCTCCTTTTATTTAACGTTTAGCTGATCTGGACATACCTTGTATACGATAATCTCGTTAATAAAAAATTGAACTGGTATACTCACAAGGTTTTATTAAACAAAATATTGTATCGCGTGTGGTATACACTGACACTTCATTTAGATTTATTTCCAAAATAATACGCTTACTGACTTCAAGAGCGATCGAAGTGTTAAAATTCCACGTCTTCTTTTACTCATCTCACTATCTCTTCTCATGTACTCCTTGCATTTCCGTCTATTTTCTTCTTTTCTTGTTATAAAATAATCTATGTATGAATAATTATTTGTCTTTTGTATTTTATAAGTATCGCCCCATATCTTCCTTTGGATTGATCCACAGATAAACACCATTTTGAGTATTTTTCAATATTCAAAAATGTTTAACACTGAGTATTGAATCGTGAGCTCAAGGAATAATGTTTGAACAAATTTTATAGTTAATTCACTAAAATAAAAAAAACCTAAAAGTTTTTTGTTTGCCTACGTAATAACTTACTCAAAAGTAGTAGCCCCTAGTCCTAAATACAAAAATGATATAACTTACCTGCATTCCTATTACGGCGTAAATAAAAAACAACATTACAATCAACAGGGCAACATAAGGTAGAGCTTGAAATGATTTTAAGAACGTCCAGAGTAACGTTCGTATACCCTCACCTCTATTTAATAATTTTATGAGCCTCATAACACGAAACAAACGAAAAAAATTACCAGATAACTGGAACTTAGAAGACCCAGGCTAAAACAAAACGTTAATGAAACATAATTATAAAGGTCCATAAATAGTAGATGAAGTAAAATCTCACTAATCCGGCACTTCAGTAAACTGATACGTCCAGTAATCCGGCAGTCTCCGCCAGTTAGGTAGTAGAGAAAACATGTTCAAATTGTCAAAAGAATATGGAGTTAGGAGTGCTACTTTACATCATCTTAAGAAAGAAAAAACGAAGAAGTATGATGAAAGTGATGCATACTTACTATGAGAAGTATACAAAGAGCTATGAGAAAAGAAAATAGAGAATATAAAGAACAGATAATAGTCTTAAAAAAGTTAGAGCTAAAAAAAAGGATTGGAAAAATACAGAGCAACGTATAAATGAGGTGGAAAATAGATTGGAAATGTTTAATTTAAAAATTCTTTATAAAAAGTATATAAGTAAAAAGATCCTTTCGGGTTACATCACAGAATCTTTTCGGACTTAAAAGTCCATCATTAGTGTATTGTTACCAGTTATACATGAGTCGAGCCACTAAATATTTGTGTAAAAATCGTTAAAAAGTTACAGAATTTGTTTTGTTATACATTATTGTTGAAAAGATGTTGTGATGTTATAGTATATAACAGATACCCTGCATGGCAACGTAAGACTTCCATTCCAATAGGGGTTGTTGCTGATTCAATATTTTATCAATCAATTTTATCTTATGAAAAAGAAGGAAAATCCTAGAAGCGTGGACCCTATGTAAGGTGATGCTTAAAAGCTTGAAAGTCTTTGGAATGTGGTTATATAAACGACTACTACGAATAAGCTGGATGGACAAAGTTAGAAATGAGGAGGTCCTTAGACCCTTGAGCCAAATAATACAACTGGTCAATATAATAAAGAGACGCAAGCTGGAATACTTCGTTCATATTATGAGACATCCCAAAAAATCCCATTTATTTTTTGGTTTAAAGAAACCGAAGAAACAGAGCAAATTATGACAGATGAAGAAATATGTAAAGTAGTACAACCAAATGAATAAAGCTTAGTAAAAATATCTGAGCCACCAACCACTGCAACTATAAAAGTAAAACCAGATACAGCATTTAATTGCTTCAATACCTGCATAACATGGGCTAAAGAATGGGCGTATTTCTTCGAAACGAGAGAAGGTTTTTAAACAAGGACTACAAGTCGTACAAAAATAAACCTGAACTAAGGATTATTTTAAATTAAGTATGTTAACTTTGAAATTAATTAAATGTGAGATATGTTACAGTTACACCCTCTGGGTTTTAATAATGGCGAATGAGTGAGATTATACTGTAATTTGAACAAGTTTTTGCATATTTTATTTAACTTTTGGGTAACCTTGTAGGCCAGACATGTGGTCCACCTCTGCCTATCCACATATTTGGGACGTTATCATTCAAAAAAATTCTTACCATTACTCTAAAATAAGGAAAAGCTCCATCATGATGAAAGACATTTCCTCAATATTTACATCTTCAAGAAGTACTGGCAGATGATTTTGGATAAAATCTAAGTACGATTCGCTGGTTAGTCAGCGCGGAAGTATATGTGGTTCAATTAAGCGATTGAACAAGAAATTTGCACCGAGAGTTTGTTTGTCTCTCCGCATGCGGATTGTCTTCCGGATAAATATGTGTGTGTATTTATCAGATTATAAACACTATTTCTGGTAAAAACATTAACGTTTCTAATTTAGTGTTTGCTGAATCTCTCTATTATTTACCTATACATTTCTTCACTCAATTATTGTTGTTCTGTTTCAAAAACAAGTTTAAATGCTATTTTTTTATTTAATAAGATACTTAAGGCATATGCCTTAAGACATACCTCTTCATGCAAATAAATTCATACTGCTTATGAAACAGTCTGGAGAATTGTATGTAAACATCAACAATCACGTTATGTTTACTACAAATTTTCTAATACAGAATATGTATTTTTAAGGATCTACTTTATAAAAAGTCGATTTAGTATTAAAGAAGTACTTTAGTAACATTCTACCCATTCTCTGGGTTGAATATAAAGAAAGACATATTAGGAAATTTGGATAAATATTCTTCTTATTCCTATGCCGTCCCCATTAAAGGAGGTTGGCGACCACATTTCTAAAAGTTTCTCTATCTTTTGCTACGTGGAATAATTCATCTACAGTCATGTTTGTCCAGTCTCGAATATTTCGCAGCGATGACTTTCTCTTTCTACCTATTCCCTTTTTGCCATCGATTCTACCCTGCATGATGATCTGCAAAAGACTATATTTATCATTCCTCAGTATGTGTCCTAGGTATGCACTCTTGCGTACTTTTATTGTTCTCAACAATTTTTTGTCTCGACCCATCCTTCTCAGCACTTCCTCATTGTTGACCCTGACAGTCCATAGAATTCTCAACATTCTCCGGTATATCCAAAGTATAAAGGCTTCAAGCTTATTAACAATTTGCGCTTTTAACGTCCACTAGGACTAGAGGACACTAAAGACGTAACATCCAAGAATTCTTATGCGTATATTGATACTTAAAGATAAGTTGCACAGAATCTTCCTAAGGCTGTTGAAAGAGCTTCTGGCTTTTTCAATACTAGTTTTTATTTCGTAGCTGTGATCCTAATTATTCTTAATATTGCAGCCCAAATAGCATATTTTTTCCACCCTTTCTAACGGTGTATCGTTAATTGTACTTTGGGCGTTTATGATGGTGTTCTTACTAATGATCATTATTTTTGTCTTCTTGCAATTAAGTTGTAGGCCGTATTTGTTACATGCTTCTACAACGTTATCTATAATCCTTTGGAGTCCCTGCGCACTATCTGCCAGCAACACTGTATCGTCTGCATATCTAATGTTGTTTATAAGTTTGCCATTTACAGCAATCACATCTTCTGATTCATCCAAGGCCTCTCTAAAGATGTTTTCAGAGTATATGTTAAATAATGCCGGTGACAATATGCTACCCTCTCTAACTTCCTTTTTTTGACAGTGAAGATTTCGGACAGTTCATTTTCTAATCGTACTGTTGCTTTTTGTTGGAGATATAAGTTTGAGATCAGTCTTATATCCTTACCATCGAATCCTGATGTTTTAGGTTATCGATTAGTTTCCCATGTAGGACTTTATCAAATGCCTTCTCGAAATCAATGAAACATGCATACACATCGCAATTGACATCCCTCGCTCTCTGTATTAGAACTTGCAAACTAAAAAGTGCTTCCCTTGTTCCGAATCCTGCTCTGAATCCAAATTGAACTTCACTCAGGTTTTCTTCTAATTTGGTGTATATGCGCGAGTGAATGATAGTAAGGAGTACTTAATACAGCTCATCAAACTAATTAACTATGTTCCACATTTTCTAGCGTTGGCTTTTTAGATGGAATGATATGATAGTAGCCAGTCTTTTGGTAAGTAAGCAGTCTCGTAGATGTTGTTGAATAGCTTCGTAAGAGCTGTGATTTGGTGTGACTCTAATAGTTTTAAGATTTCATAATGCACCTTATCAGGTCCTGGTGATTTCTATCTTTAATCCGCTTAATGGCCATAGTTACTTCTTCGTTTGTTATTTATGGGCCGTAGGGATTGTTTATTTCAGTCGGACTTCGTGCTGCATCTTTGAATAATTCTTACATATATTCTTTCCTACAGACTAGACTACATATATAAAGATAAATTAAATTTTAGAGGCTCAATCGATAAAATAAATTTGTACTGTTCAGTAAATAAACATATGAACACTTACGTTAACATCTTGGTATACAATATCAACAAAACTGCCTAAAACGATTATAAAATCGAATAAGTTCCAAGCATCTCCAAAATAGTTCTGAAAAAAAGATTTTATTTATTAGTACGAAACAAACTTATTTAACTCAAATGAGTGACTAGGAAGAAAGAATTTTCCTTTCAAAATAATTTAGGGCGTTGTCTGATAGTAAGATAAATAAAGTATTTTTTGATTTAATTTTCCAATACACGCGCTTGGATTGTCAATCTGCCTTTGATGATGAAGATATTATTCTAGTTAATATAGTAGGCAATTTACTACATGACAAGATAAGAAGATATACGAGAATCTAAGGACTGCATAGTAATATTTGGTGAGACTAAGCCAACAAGTTGCTTGTGTTGAACATCGAAGTAAAAAGGCGAATCTAAACCAAAAATCTGAGAGAACAGCTATCTATTCCCGTAAAAGGGATACATCATCTATGGATACATGCAAGCAAATAACTGAGCTTGAAGTACATAAATGAAGTACAGTAAATAAATACAGAAAAGGGTACCCACAAGCTATAAACATCTTGATTTAAGGGCTGCATGAATATTTGACAATCTCAGCAGTGTACACCCACGATGCAACATTACTAGTACACATTTTGTGAAATATTTGAATTATTTATTTCTTGGTAAGCCTAGTGGTGACTAAAAATTATAAACACACCTACTGCGTTTTAGAACTACAAATTGTAAAGGACGGCAGCTTTGCAGAGTTATTCAAAACAACCCTCTTCAACGTTTATGTATGGGAGAAATCATGTATTGGCTCAAAGACATGAACTAATTCTCTGACTTTTTGTGTTACCAAGACAATTACAAAAAAATTCCTGATAACGAAGTCACGTTATTTACGTTTCTTACGCTAAAAGTTTCAGCTGTAAACACTGAAGCAGTTGAAAGAGATAATCCATTTTTTCTTTTAGTAAACATACTACCTGGAAATATTTTAGATCCCTCTTAGATAAAAACTATCAAAACTAATTCTGAAATCGGCGAAACTGTGGAATACTTGATTTATTCTGTAAATCAAGCACCATACTTATTTATACGTTCTCAAAATTAGTTTGTATAATAATTCATGACTAATCCACGTACATCAATGTTTCAATCGACCACAAAAAACTTAGAAAAATGTGACAAAGAACAAGATCACCAATAGACGAAACAACATTTAACAGGGCAGCGGTGCAAGTTAGACTAAAAATTTCGCTAGTCACCTGGCCAGTTTTTACCAATTGCGTACATCTAAGCAGGAAGTCTAAGCAGGGAAGCACAGAGAAATCCCGTAACAATTTGAATTAACGTTGAAAAATTTAAAAATAAATCAAGTGAAAGAGGCTATTAATAGAAATCTAAATCCCAAGATGCTTTCTTGTCCCAATATTAACAAAATCAGAATTTTGAAACATCCACGTTAGAATATATTCAAATAATATCAAAGCAGCAATTCAGTTTTAACTCCAACACGGAGCTGTTGAATAGATTTATTATCAGACTTTCGAGACAAACTGTACAAACTATCGACTATTTGGAGACATTATATATATATATATATATATATATATAATGAACCAGAAGTATTTGCTGACCACGTAAGGAAGTAAACTTTAAATATTGGGTATGCAGCAATAAAAATGAAAGGTGTACTCTTTTAAATTTTTATTCCAAGCTTTCGGACATTGGTTATGTCTTTCATCAGGGAGCTACAAATGTGATGAATAATTTTTACAAATTTGTATAATTAATTAAAAATTCGATACTTACAAACTTAATGAGGTTGTATCATAAATGATTTTATAAAAATTGTTGATAAAATTTATCACAGTCTGTTGAGCTAAAACCTATTCCTATATTTAAAATTTTAAAAAATTACTTAACATTCACACAAACTTAATTATTTATACACAAATCTATGACATTGATATTGACATTGGCAAGTGAAAATCTCACATCCCTAATATCAAGCAACTGCTAGTACAACAAATTATAGGCTTATATTAAAATGGGCATCGGATAAACTACAACTAACAAAAGTGTAAGGGACGGCAGCTTTGCAGAGTTATTCAAAACAACCCTCTTCAACGTTTATGTATGGGAGAAATCATGTATTGGCTCAAAGACATGAACTAATTCTCTGATTTTTGTGTTACCAAGAGAATTACAAAAAATTCCTGATAAAGAAGTCACGTTTTTACCTTTCTTACGCTAAAAGTTTCAGCTGTAAACACTGAAGCAGTTGAAAGAGATAATCCATTTTTTTTTAGTAAACATACTACCTGGAAATATTTTAGAACCCTCTTAGATAAAAAAACTTTCAAAACTAATTCTGAAATCGGAGAAACGGTGGAATACTTAATTTATTCTGTAAATCAAGGATCATACTTATTTATACGTTCACAAAATTAGTTTGTATCATAATTCATGACTAATCCACGTACATCAATGTTTCAATCGACCACAAAAAGACTTAGAAAAATGTGACAAAGAACAAGATCACCAATAGACGAAACAATATTTAACAGGGCAGCGGTGCAAGTTAGACTAAAAATTTCGCTAGTCACCTGGCCAGTTTTTACCAAATGCGTACATCTAAGCAGGAATTCTAAGCAGGGAAGCGCAGAGAAATCCCGTAACAATTTGAATTAACGTTGAAAAATTTAAAAATAAATCAAGTGAAAGAGGCTATTAATAGAAATCTGAATCCCAAGATGTTTTCTAGTCCCAATATTAACAAAATCAGAATTTTGAAACATCCACGTTAGAATATATTCAAATAATATCAAAGCAGCAATTCAGTTTTAACTCCAACACGGAGCTGTTGAATAGATTTATTATCAGATCTTCGAGACAAAATGTACAAACTATCGAATGTTTGGAGACATTATTAGACATATATATATATATATATATATATATATATATATATATATATATATATATATAAATATATATATATATATATTACACATTAGCAGGATATATATATATATATAATATATATATATATATATATATATATATATATATATATATATATATATATATAAACAGGCATTAGCAGGCGAGGCAATGAACCATTAACCCATACAAATGTTACGTACTGTATTCCATTCGTAAGTGCTTTAGGAAATTTTGTGAACTAAAGTTATGATGTCGAAATGACAATTACATTATTAAACAAGTATAATGTATTTCGAAGCGATGAAAAATCATAATTTTAATTGACGTAAATGAGTTGAATATTACTACTCGGGAGTTTTTGGAGCCTCGATTTCCAAGGCACCGGGTCTAGAAAATGGACCTTATTTCTTGCAGTTTTGTGGAAATTCAATACAAAATCAGTGCAAAATCGTTATTCAGGGGTTTTTGTTGTCGCTGAACACAAATATTATGTTGGCAATGCTCTCTAAGGCACCTGGCGCCCAGGATGCATCTCGTCTTTTGGAGTTTTATGGGAAAGCGATACAAAATCAGTACAAACTCGTTACTCAGTGGGTTTTGTGGTCACTAATTACGAATATCATGCATTTAGATTACACAGTATGTACCATATACAATACACAGTATGTACAGAGTATACAATGCCTTTATTTTTTTGATCCGTCGTCTCATTTTCTTCGTCTGTCGATTCAGTCTAATATTTTTTGTTATCTGTGCAATTAACGCTTACATAGTTTATGCGCGCGACACTGCAATGTATTCCGTTTTTCCTCTATCCACATGAATTTTTACAATCGGTTTTCCACCTGCAAAATATCAAGCTCACCATGTAATTGTGTCATTTTTACGGGAACCAAAGTTTGTTCTTTAAGTTGCCATTCACAGTTTGTGGAGTTTAAGCCATTCTGCTCTACGTAGAGTCAGTTTTGCACCTGAAGATATACGCTTTTCAAGTGCTGGGTAAACGCATTGACTGTTGGGAGAATTTACTCTTTGAGAGTCGTACTCTTTTTATACTCCTCTCTTAGTTTGGGCTTTCTAAATCTAAGTAAGGCATTGTATATACACTCGGTATATTCTTTGTGTTAATAATTTTTGTCGAATGAAGATTTAGTGAATTCTTTTAGGCTTTCTATAAGATCTTCCGTAAATAACATCTTTGACCCACTGATAGGCAACACATTGGTAACTCCTGCTTAAAACTACTACCTGCAATAAAAGCTCTAAATTTTAAAAAGAATGTTTAGAATAATTTTTTCCAATATTTGATAAAGCTTCTGAAAATAACATGTATACCTCGAGGACGATTAAGAACGAAATTCCTTATTACTATTACCAATGAACTAGTGTTCAAGATATCCAAGTAACGAGTTTGGACTGACTTTGTATCTAATTTCCATTAAGTCTAGGAGACGAAGTTCCTAGCGAGATCAACCCTCGACACCAGGTACTACGGATACAATCGATGTCTGATATTCGTATTCAGCGTGCCCAAAAACCCCTCGAGTAACGAGTTTGCACTGATTTTTTATTGAATTTTCATAAAACTTTAGTAAATAAGGTCCATTCTCTGCACCCCAGGGGCCTCGGAGACCATCGCCGTCATAATATTCTTGTTCAGTGGTCCCAAATATATCCGTAATATTGAACTCATTTTCGTCAGTTATTGCCGAATTACAAATTTATTAATTTTCATCACTTCGAAATGCACTTTGGAAAATGCATTTTCCTTGTTTAATGCAAATTTAATTTCGACATCATCACTTAAGTTCACAAAATTTCCTTACGCTCTACGGATCAAACGTAATAAGTTTCAGTGAGATCCATCCAACTGTAAAACATTGGTAAGTTTTGTGCTTGTTGCTGCTTCATTGACTCGCCTGTAGACAAGGCATTCCTGCATATTGGCACTCTACATAAAGTTAGAAACGATTTCAAAACAACAAGTTTAGCTCATAAAACAGCTTAGAACAGAAACAAGTGGATAACTTCGTATATATCCGTTTAATTTTAGTTACCAAATTATTTACTCATTGTATTGTTTATTTCTTGTACAGATTGTAATTTTAATGGGATATTAAAAAATAAAATATACTCACCTTCACTCTGAATGCTGCCAATTTGAAGACGAACTCCATCGCAAACACAGCAGTGAAGATCATATTGAGATAGTCAAGAACTTTTTCGTAAACTAGATATTCTTCTTGTTTATGATAAAACTTCATTCCCAGCGTTATGGTGTTGGTCAAAATAAGTGTAAAGATGGCATACTCAAAAGGTCTCGACGTAACAAACCACCAAACCTTGTACTGAATTCGATGCTTGGGAATGTACCGACGAATAGGTTTAGCCTTTAGAGCAAATTCTATACAGTTGCGCTGGTTCTTGTCGAGCTCACAGTTTTTGTATTCTTGTTCACCTTCGTTTTGGAATGTAACAATGACGAAACCGACGAATATGTTAACCATAAAAAAAGCGATAATAATAATATATACTATGTAATACGCTGCAACTATAGGGCGGTAATTGTGAATTGGTCCTTTATTTTCTTCATATGAGTCTATGGAAACGTAAAGTAAAGCTGGCCATCCTTCAAACGTTGAAACTGTAAACAGCGTCAACATCGCTTTCAGTACGTTGTCGAAATGAAATCTGTTCGGGTCCCAACTTCTTTCTTTCATCGACGGTCTTCCTATATCTCCATCTTCATATACCAAATACGTTCCACTAAAACATTTTATCAAAATCAAATAAGTTTGATTCTAAATACAGGTTACAAGAAATCTGATTAACAATTAATGGTACACAATTCAGGAGTTACAAATCCTAATAAGATATTGTGTTATCTAGAGTTTATTAAATATGAGAATTTAATTTAGAAGATAACCCTGAAAGAAAAAGGTAAGCTTATAAGCTGATGACAAGCTCATTGATCTAAACTTAACTACAAATGATAACTTAACGATGACTATTAAAGTGGTTATTCGTTATAAGTATAGTTTATTACACTATTTTTTTTATATAACTGCAGAACTACTAAATTGACTATTTCAGGATAAAAGTGCCGAAATAAAATAGTTGTCAAAATAAAAAATGATCGTAATTTTTGATGTGAAAAGAATATTTGAAAAATAGGAGATAACAATGAATGAGCCACACAAAGGTGTGTTTATTTTGAGATTTTTTGTTGCATATTTTGTTTGTTTTGAGACCGTACCCGTCGAACAAAATGTTTCTGATAGATTTCTTTGCGGATTCTTGCTTAAAAATGTCCCCTTTAAACAAATCTGAAGGAAGCCGGGCAACATTTTTGGGAGAAATTGTTTAAACAATTTTTTCAAGTATTTACCCAAATTGAAGTTTACACAAAGTAATTAATATTTATCTAAGATTCTAAAGAGCAATCGGAGCTTATTTCAATTTAGACCGTTGTTTATTTAATTGTTTAAATTATGGGCGTTCACAATAATTTTATAAAAAAATTCAGAAAAAAAGTTCAAAATTTCGCACCCTTCAGATTTGTTTAAAGGGGACATTTTTGAACAAAAATGAGCAAAGAAATAAAATCAGAAACAATTTTCCTTCGGGAGCGGTCGCAAAACATGGACTATTAATAGTTTAGTGATAGATGGTTAAGTGACAATTATAAAAAATAACAGTAAGTGAAATCATCGTATTAGCTATGACTATTTCTTCTTCTTCTTCTTAGAGTGCCGTCTCCCTACGGACGTTGGCAATCATAATGGCTATTTTTATTTTAGAACTTGCTGTTCTAAACAATTCAATCGATCTGCATTGATACCAATCACGTAGATTCTTTAACTATGAGTTCTGCCTTCGGCCAACAGATCTTCTTCCTTGAATCTTTCCCTGTATTATGAGTCTCAAAATTTCATATTTTGGACCCCTCATCACGTGGCCTAAGTATTCCAGTTTTCTGGTTTGTATAGTGGTGATTATTTCTGTTTATTTATCAACCCTCTCCTTCTTCTCTTCTTTCAGTGCCCTGTCCGATTATCGAACGTTGGCGATCGTATTGGCAATAATAACCTTATTCATGGCGGCTCTAAATAAATAACCCTCTCCAGTACTTCCTTATTTGTAATTCTATCAGTCCATTATATTTTTATTAATAATATTTTAAAAACGCCTGCTAAAAACTACATGCTTCAACTATTATTTAACTTCACCTATAACGACACTAGTACCTATATATTTGGTCAAAATCTATCATTCTCTCATTTTTCAAAAGCCGAAAATCTCGTCTAGATTCTGATTCCTATAGACCAATAAGCCTAATTTTTGCAATCGGCAAGCTACTAGAAAAAATGATCAACTCAAAGCTGATTTGGTATCTAGAAAATTCAAATTTACTTATAAATGCAGAAAATGGTTTTTGATAAAACCGATCTGGCGTAGACAACATAAATAAGCCATGCAAACTTATATTCAGGACTTTCTGGCAACAAAAAATATTGTATCGCAATATTTTTTTGTCTTAAAAAAAGCAATTAATACATGTTGGAGATAGATTATCTTAAAAAAGTTGCAGTCAAGGAATATTCACGAAAATGCCTTCATTTTATTAACAACCTTTGTTTTATGTAAGAGTTAACAACTACTATTCCGAAAAACTGGATGAAGACAATGGGACCACCCAAGGCTCATGCATTAGCCCTACACTCTTCTTAATCGCAATTAATGTCATAATCAAAAATCTTATAACACCTTTATTGGGTTGACTGCCAAGGCATTTAATTTATTTTAATAAAAAAAAGATAGGCCTCAAAATAGTATCGGGCAATATGCCCGCTCCTGCGCTGGCCATACTTATTCTCCCACCACGTAGGGCGGTCAGTATAGTGGACATTATTACTAAGCTCATTAACATCACTCACTGTAATTTTTTATGTGCCATAACAAGTGTTTTGAAAGTTGTAATTATTTGTGAATGGTTTAGATATCTCTAAAAAGATGAAGTATACGTTTATATTTTTGAGGTACAAACTGTATGCTTTATTGCAAATGGGTCCGATAGTAATGCTTTAAGTGAATTTGATTTTGAGCAGGACTGTATAATCTATACCCTCAGTTCATAAGAAACTGATTTTTCATCAGATTCAGATGAAGATAAAATTAAAAATAAACGATTACGACAAACTAAATCTGAAAGTAGTATATGTTATAAAGAACCATTATGTCCATCTTTGAGTAATAGTAATATTGACATAATAGCAATGAACAAGATCAATTAACCGTAAATACTGATAATATGGATAGTGATATTGTAATGTCACATTAAATGTTGGTTGAAAATTGTTCCATCGATGAACAAGCGGTGGAAAATGAGAATTTAACAAATGATGTTCAGTGGAAAATGCCGGTTGGTAATCATCAGCAATTTATTTTTTCTGAAATCCATGGACTTAATCCTACTTACGCTGCAGCTATGTCCTCGGATGATGCTACCTGATTCCACGCATTTTTTTATTTCTAAATTGTTGACCTTATAGTAGATCAAACAAATCTGTATGCAACTCAACAATTCTCTAGTGTAGGGGAAAAAGGGCATAAGTCTAAATCTGTCGTTTTTCAGGAGGATTTATTAAACGTTTCATTCTTGTCGTATAAATACATTTTTAAGTTAAACTTATATTTATACTAATATTATAATACGATATATTAACCAAACCTATAGACAATAATAAAATAGGTTATATCTTTTCATATTGATGATTTTTGATTGACTTAAGTCCTCTGGATCTGACTTTGATTGCGATTGCTGACTTAAGTCTATATGAACTAACATGCTCGCCATTAAGTATAGCAATATTGACAAGACTGTTCTTATGATTAAATAATAATAAGTATGGTAGTAAACGAGTCACATATAGAAATACAGGTAAATACAAAAACGTAAAATAATGGATGAAGTTTTATTCGCTGAAAAAAACAATACAAGTAAAATACATCATTGCAAATGTTTATTACGTATGTACCTCTTCGAAGTCCGCATTTTCAGCATCTGGATCTAGGTCTTCTAAATCTGGGTCAACGACAGCAGTTGCATTTGAATGTACAAGTTGTTCATAAAAGCCTTTGTACACATCTGGAATTAGGGGTAGTAATTCCCAGAGATCATCTTTCTTGGCCTTGGAGATTGCAAGTGGCTCTGTATATTTTTTTGATAAAGAGAGTGCAACTATTCAGAATGGAAAAGTCTTCTGTTTCTTGAAGTGATTTTTTATAATTAATCAGTCCCTGTTCCTTTGTGTATCTGAGCCATTTGCAGTCGTGCCATAGAAATTTTCGTTTTTCACTATCTTGTTTTCTTTATACAAAGACACATTTCAACAAGGCTGCAAAGTCATAAAAATCATCTTGTGATATTTCAAGCACTTGGAAAGGTTTCTTTTTATTTGCGCATCGTATTAGTGTCGCCCAATCACGTGGATGGGATATTTGCATACCACTTGTTTTTTTTTTTGTTCTCGAAACTCCCATTCTTGTTGATGTCTATTATCTGAAAAATAATATCACATTTTAGAGTTATACCTACGTTTTTGTAAAATTTCGGTTTTATTTTATTAATAGGAGAATAGTAGTCGTTTATGTGTGGTCAATACAAATAACATAATATTCAATTTCGTGATTAACAACTTCAAAATATTAATCTACACACTCTGTATATAAATGTATAATGTAAAGAATGAAAACTATTTAAAGAATTATTAATTTTAATAAACATACATAATATTACACATAAATTTTTACAGATAAAACAGTATTAAACGGTAACGTACCATTATTTTGCTTCTTAATCATCTCCATAATTCTTTTACACCTTTCTGACATTTTTACGTTCGCAAAAACACAAGTAAATACAAATTTTTATCACTGAAAAGCAATACGTGTTTGTTATTGTAACGGGTCATACGGAATTAAGTCAGCCTGTCCTTGGCAAGTGAAAATATACGGTTGTTAGGTTGCCGCGGTAAAAAAGACTTTAGTCAACATAAGTCCGTTTGTCCAAACAGAACCGGTTTTACACGACTTGTGTCTATTAGATCAATAGAGATTAAAGCGGTTAGAAATACAATAGACTTATGTCCTTTGGATCACAACTAAATTGATTAAATTCCATTTCGCCAGTGTACTTAAGTCAATATAGTATAAATTTGACTTATGCCCTTTTTCCCAAACACTAGAGAATTACTAACAGATAATATTTCTCAGAAATCAAGATTACACGAGTAGCATCTAACTGACAGGAGAGAAATATACAAATTCATTGGTATTTTAGGATACATGGGTTTAGTCAGGATGCCTTGACCCTCACATTACTGTTTTAGAGATGCCTTGTTTATTGATATTACTTCCAATACCATGAATCGTAATCGTTTTGAACTGTTGCTTAGGAACAGTCATTTATCGGATAATATAAATAACCCAAATATAAAAAAAAACCTCTATTTAACAACACATTCACTAATAAATATATAAATCTGTGATTAAAGAGGTAATTGCTTGTCAGAAATTGAAACTAGAACAATGAAACCAGAACAGGTACAAAACATCGTTTTCCCAAATCGACTCATTATGAACAAATGAAGTAAATATAACAGCAGATATGCAAGACATGTTCTGAAACAGCTCCTAAATCGCAACCCCACGTTTGTAACCCCCTCGTAAATGCAAAACGTCACATTTCACGTGAAAACTTCACGTTTTCAACTAAAAACTTGTTTTTGTGTAAAAAAAAAGTTTTCACGTCAAAATGTCACGTTTTCCTGTCAAAACGTCAGGTGTTACGTCAAAACGTCACGTCAAGACGTTATGCGTTCTGTCGAAATGTCCGCCTCTCGTCAAAACGTCACGAGTCACATCGAAAAGTCAAGCGTCACGTCAAAACGTCATGCGTAACGTCAAAACGTCACAGGCAAATTTTGACACGCGCGACGTTTTTTGACTCAAACTCTGACGTTTGCATATATACTAACTCGCCTTGCAGATCTACTTAAAACACATATACACACAGACGCGCGCACACACACACACACACACACACACACACACAGCACACACACACACACACACACACACAATCTACTTTAAACACATATACACACAGACAAGCGCGCACGCACGCAGGCACGCACGCACGCACGCACGCACGCACGCACGCACGCACACACACACAAAAAGAAAAGCATATTCAGGATACATAAATGTGTACCATATATTGTTAATACGATCACTAATGTATAAAACTTACTTGCAATCATCAGCCGTCATCTTGGATCTATCAGTACAGTGCGATAACTTTCCCTAGATATAACATTGTAGATATTAGTGTCTAGTATAAGTATACATTTTGGGTAGGAAGGTTACAAATGAAATCAGAGGTTATTTACTAACGTGCGCAAATTTTGAAAATGAAAAGCGGTTACTTTGCGTGGTTGGCAAACACAAACACTACAATCATGCAAAAGATCGTGCATATTAATAACAGGTATTACAAAATGCGATCACTTGTAGTCATAACTAGTAACAATATTATATTTCAGGACGAATATATGTAATATAGTCAAATCAGGGTGCTACAATGAACAATGTATGTTAACAGATGTCAATTTGACAAGACAAAACATCGTAACATCCTCCTGCATCCATTTAATAAGCCTATCAAAGCCTGATGTAACCAAATGGTGCAGCGGCAAAATGTGATGATTTTTACAATGTTACTGTGCTTGTATAGTGAACCATGATTATAGGTATTATTCAATAGCCTAAATCTAATATTTACCCACTTATACCTATAAATACCTCGTGTCACGTAGGGCATGCCCATAAAAACAGCAAATCCTACGTCACTCACCCGTATATCTATAGGGTATTATAGTATTAGAATCCATTTAGTCTGATTGAAACATCAGAAATTAATTGTTTTGTTAGTTGTCTATTCTATGAATCGATTATTTTGATAAGCTCTCTAATTTTTTTTTTAAATTGGCATAAATTCAACCACCTACCTCTCATCAATCGCTAAACGTTTTGTTATAAAATCAATAAACCATACTAATATCTCTGAATATATAAAAAAAAAATTTAACCGATATTTTTAGTGTTAAAGTATGTATAAAAATGTTACTTTATTGATATATTTTTGACAAACGATATGTACTATTTGTTCAAATTTATCAAAATAAATAGATTTATGTTTGCAATTAACGTTATTAGTATCCATAGAATGTACACATATTTTGTAGTATAATTATTTCTTCTTGCCCATAAAAAGCAGGATAAAATAATTATCATCTCTGTTTGAAACAATCTGCTGCTTAAAATACGAAGGAATTTATACGCCAATAAATTTTAAAAGAAATGCTACGAACAAATAGCGGATAGTGAAATAAAATACTAAACTCAAAATACTAATGTGCAAAGTCGCACCTTTGCGGTGGAATGAATAGGGAGAGTATCTTTTTCAATAATAGAAAATATTTGCGGCAACTTGTAGTTACCAGTAGGCTAGGGAAATAAGCAAAAAAAGTTTGTGACACAGTTAACGGCTAGTTAACGGTGCAGGCTTGGCTTGCAAAACGACAGTTGTTTTGAGTATTATGGACCTCTATGACAAGAACCTATATGGTTTCTGCAGTCAATTTTGTGAACGTTATAAGTTATTAACAAATTAAAGTCAAAAAACCGTCAATTGTCGCTTTTTTTAAGAGTTAGAAAGTTATGCCAGATAAAAACCTTTAAAATTATCCTTATTTGTTGCTTAGAAAATTTCAAAATAAGTCAGAAATTTCGATTTTTTATAAATGTTAGTAACTTAAAAAAACAAACTTACAGGCTTTATATTACATGGAATGTTGGGTCTTATGGTTCTTAAAATACGCTCAAAATTTCAAATCGATCGGTCAAATAGTTTAAAAGTTACTTTATTTATTTATCCCAAATTAATTTTTTTTGCAACAATATGTCAGAAAATAATGAAGTTACAGTAATTCTACGGGTAGATGATGAAAGAAAAAGATTTATTCTAACAATATTATTAAAACAAATGAAGAGAAACAATTTTAAATATTGTAAAATTATTTTGCAAAAACATGTTGATTTTTGTTGATGTTTATAAACTTTTGGAATAACTTTTTAACCATTGCCCACAGAAAAATTATTTTTTTATATTTGGTAAGCGTCCATTTCTTTCAAAAATAAAAAAATTGTGCCAGGACAATTAGGGTCGAGGTTAGTTCCTTTTTTTTTAATTCACAGCAGCTTTGTTTATAAAAACTAAGAGATCTAATTAACGACATTTGAAAGAACATAGCGAAATAGGAATAAGAATAGAGAAAGCCCGCAGTGCCTTTAACAACATGAAACAAATGTTGTGTAGCAGAAACCTAAGCCTAAAGCTGAAAATACGAATGCTTAAATGTTATGTTTTCTCGGTCCTGTTATATGGGGTGGAGGCGTGGACACTAAATAAGCAATGTATGGGTAAGCTGGAGGCATTTGAGATGTGGGCGTACCGAAGAATACCAAAAATCTCCTGGAAGGATAAGATAACTAAGCAAGTTGTATTAGACAGGATGAACAAACAAAAGGAGGTCGTATTGAGTGTTAAAATGAGGAAACTACAATACCTGGGACATATTACACGTGGGAATAAATATCAACTGTTACAACTAATTATGCAAGGAAAGATTGAAGGTAGGCGCAGCATAGGTAGGAGAAGAATGTCATGGTTGAGAAACCTCAGGGAGTGGTTTGCTTGCACTTCCATACAATTGTTCCGAGCGGCAGCTTCCAGGGTCAAAATTGCCATGATGATAGCCAACCTTCGTAGCGGAGATGGCATGTAAAGAAGAAGAAGTAGAAGAAAGAACACACTTTAATATATATATATATATATATATATAATAATAATAATAATAATAATAATAATAACTAGCTGACAAACTGGGACTTCTCCATACCGACCATCTTCCTTATTATCAATACGCTCCTGATAGAATGCTTGAAAATGACAACTACAAGCTATACTGGGACCGCACTGTGCTTACAGACCAACCAGTGGCCCATAATAGACCGGATCTCATACTAGTTAATAAACTTACTAGACAAACAACACTTATTGATGTGGCGATACCCAACACCAATAATTTAGTTGTTAAATACAACGAAAAGATCGCCAAGTACAGAGATCTAGAAATACAAATCAGGAGACAATGGAGAATGGAAAGTACCCAGACACTACCTATTGTTCTATCTACTACTGGTGTTATTCCCAAAAACCTCCTAGCGAACATAAAACAACTAGGTCTAAATGAACATCTTTATAAGGCCATGCAGAAAGCTGTACTCCTCGCGACGTCCAGATGTGTACGAAAATTTTTGGGAGATACTCCAACATACCAAGTCACCTAGGACTCGATAACATGGAAAGAGTCCCACCAGAGCTCAATCCTTTTGATACCGTAGGTATCTGGGATGAGTGAATTTTCCCCTTAGAGGGAGTGTGAGCCGTATGGCTAAATCTGGAATAATAATAATAATATAAAAAAAATAATATATAAATAAAGGGTCTTCAGCGGAAAGTAAGAACACTTCTCACAAAGGCGCAAAAACATCATCCACGCAGTGCAGTAGAGAGAACAACATTACCGCGGTATCAAGGAGGAAGAGGACTTATTGATATAGGTGAGCAATTAGATAAACAAATTGCTAATTTAAGATCTTATTTTCAGGTACAGGCTGAGACATCTACTTTACATCGAGCAATTTGCGCAGTAGATGACACAACGCCGCTTAAACTGAGGGAACAAGAAATGCGCACAAACCATCTGACTAAGCAAGAAAAAATGCGCACCTGGATGAGTAAACCTCTGCATGGGCGACATCTCAATGAGATCAACCAAGAATATGTCGACAATACAGCGTCGAACTATTGGTTGACATCAGGAAAGATGTTTCCCGAGACTGAAGGTTTCCTACTTGCCATTCAGGATCAGGTTATTCCAACTAAAAATTACCTGAAATATATTGTTAAAGATCCTCAAGTCCAAAATGACAAATGCCGATATGGATGCCAAGCCCAAGAAACCATCCAACATCTTACCGGTGGCTGTCAGGCATTTGTCGGTACTGATTATAAAGAACGCCATGACTCAGTAGGAAAGATTATCCACCAAGAACTAGCTGACAAACTGGGACTTCTCCAAACCGACCATCTTCCTTATTATCAATATGTCCCTGACAGAATGCTTGAAAATGACAACTACAAGCTATACTGGGACCGCACTGTGCTCACAGACCAACCAGTGGCCCATAATAGACCGGATCTCATACTAGTGAATAAAATTACCAGGCAAACAACACTTATTGATGTGGCGATACCTAACACTAACAATTTGCTTGTTAAATACAACGAAAAGATCGCCAAGTATAGAGATCTGGAAATACAAATCAAGAGACAATGGAGAATGGAAAGTACCCAGACAGTACCTATTGTTCTATCTACTACTGGTGTTATTCCCAAGAACCTCCTAGCGAACATAAAACAGCTGGGTCTAAATGAACATCTTTATAAGGCCATGCAGAAAGCTGTACTCCTCGCGACCTCCAGATGTGTACGAAAATTTCTGGGAGATACTCCGACATACCAAGTCACCTAGGGCTCGATAACACGGAAAGAGTCCCACCAGAGCTCAATCCTTTTGATACCGTAGGTATCTGGGATGAGTGAATTTTCCCCTTAGAGGGAGTGTGAGCCGTATGGCTAAATCTGATAATAATAATAATAATATATATTGAAAATATATAAAGTCGATGATAATCTCGTGACCTTTTTGAAGCATATAATGACAAAGTGGAAGACTAAAATTCACCTTCAAATACCTGGTGAAACCAATATCGAAACTGAAGATATCGCTATTAACCGGGGCCTTTTCCAGGGGGACTCGTTGAGTCCACTTTGGTTCTGCCTAGCGATGAACCCACTATCTCAGCTGCTGAACTCCACTGACTCAGGATTTAGCATCAAAAATAACAACACTGTTGTGGCGAAGCTTAATCATCTGTTGTATATGGATGATTTGAAACTAATGGCTTCCACTCGAAATCACTTAGATCAGATGCTAAAAACTGTAGAAACTTTCTCAAATGATATCAGTATGCACTTTGGACTAGACAAGTGCCGTATACTTAATATAGTCAGAGGAAAGGTTCAGCCCGGAGGTTTCGATATGCAAGATGGCCAAAACATCGAGGCAATGGGTGAAAATGATATTTACAAATATCTCGGAGTAAAACAGGCGCGG